GATCCTAAACATACAAGAAGCCAAGACGGTGGAGAAATGGGCGGTGATCATGAACATAATAATCTGCTCAAACCATCACTTCAGGACTTTAAAGTCCAGTCAACGTTTGACAAAATCAGCCTCGCCATCACTTGAAGAAAAGTGTCGTTTGCATATATAACTCATCTCAACGCTTATTTCTCTTTTTAATACAGGTTCTAATTCTATGTATATATACTCAACTCAATTCATTTATCGTTACACTTCATTATCTCATGTTAATTACACGAGTTGAAGTTCGTCCATGTAGTAGGATTTACTATATATACACACAATTTATTCAGTAGTACGTGAATATTAATTAAGAGAGACTTTGGATGCGGTCCCTAGTTATGAATAATCTTTGACTAAAACTTTGTTGGTTTTCAATTTTTGATCCAAGTCCCTAAAATTAATTGATAATTTATTTCTATGTACGTTACTATATTTTTTAAATTAAAAATTAAAAATTATAGTTGTTTATAGTAATGAGATTTTAAATAAAAAACATAATTTGTGGGATTAAAAATATTAAAATATAAATATACTATTGTGTGTGTGTGTGTGTAAACATGGGTACATTCATAAAAAAATAACCAAAAAATTATTGTATCAAAACATGGGTACATTCTTCAAAATGGGTACATTTAGCAAAAATAAAAATGGGTACAAATAAATAAAAAAATATGGGTACAATACAAATAAAACTTTAAAAAATATGGGCACAAAAAGAAATTAATATATGGGTACAAATTAAAATTGAAAGGAAAATTGGTACAAATTAAAAAAGGGTTGCAAATTAAAAATGGGCACAAACTAAAAATAAAAATATATGATAAAAAATTTAGCCATAAATATAAATATACTAATTGTAACATTTTTAATATTAAATGAATATATTTAGAAATAAAAAATATTTTATTATTGAAATAATTAATGATATTATTAATACAAAGGACCTTGATCAAAATTGAAAAGTAATAAGGTTTTAATCAATAGAGTAGTAAAAATAAGGATGAAAACCTAATTACTCCATTAATTAATCTATAGTCTTTAATTTAAGTTTAGTGTTTTATTTTCTCGAGCTTTGCACACATAACAATTAACTAATTGTCACTCCTACTAATAAAAATGTCACTCAGGCTCCTATTTCTTTACTAATCACGGGCTTGAGGTCTCTTGAACCAGATTATAAGCCACAAATCATTAACATAATCATTCTTGTCAAGCTAACCACGCATTCAAAGTGACAGGCCGACGAATCAATGGGAAGTCTTTCAAAGCTAGCTACTATCTTATTCAGCATTTACACATATTTTTGGGTGCACACAATATTATATATGGTTGCAAGATTTAACATGATTAGTTTTAATGCACGATTATTGATTACTATGCGGTAGTGCCGATAAAGAAATAGCACATCAAAGGGAAGAAGAGAATCCGTTTCACGTTGAATAATTTGTCTAGATGAATGATTTCCTTTTATAAATTTCAGCATACATTTTCGAGAGAGTTGTGAGAATTCTATGAATGATTTTATCCATTCATGATAAGACATATCACTTATAGAAGGGTATAACACTTATGATAAGTCATACCTCTTATCATACCCTTAGGTTAAGTGTATATTAGTACTAATCAATTTCATTTTTATTTTTTTCATCTCTTTACTTTCTTTTAAACTTAATATTGTCTGATTGTTGAATATATGTGAACGCATAATGGAGATTTATAATCAAATTTATTGTACATGTGGCATAGACTTATTGGGTGTTGGGTCCCACATATGTTTTAGGAAGCATCCTATAAGTTTAAAGGGAAGAAAGAGTCCACAAGTCAAAGTGTAACGAATTTTGAGATTTAAAGAGTAAAGTGACAATTTTTTTGTTATAAGGGGCAAAATGAGATCAAAATAAAGTTTCAGGAGGCATAGTAAAAAATAAGCTTATTTATTTTTGCTATTTCTCGATGATTATTTTTTTTCTTTGTATAGATACATACACTTTGCCACGATGACGAAAAACGTTATTATCTTTCAAAGTTAATCATTCATCGAGTTGAACCAAAATATGGTTCAAAAGTGTAAGTCTTAATTAATAGTGGGACAAACACTAATCCTTTGACGAGAATGTTTGTGATGATAGTCAAAGGCGTGTAATTTGGTTCAAGCCTTAAAACTGGTACAAAACAAAGGTAAATAATTATTAATGTTACTGAGGAGAATGTTTGTGGTGACAGTCAAAGGTGTGTAATTTGGTTCCAACAAAGACTTTAAGCCTGAAAAGTGGGAGTAACCAAATGTAGATGGATTAGCATTTTAGCAACATGAATTAATGGAAAAGTATGAGTGGAACATGAGTTCACCTTGATAAACACCAAATAAACTAATGGAAGAGGGTCCATGCATTATGCATACGACCAGAATGGAGATGGAAGAGGAGGGGAAATCAAATATACTTTCAACAAATTTTGTTCAATATAGATTGCCTGTTTGGTTAATAAGATCCAAATGGTAATTTATACATCCCTTCCAAGAGGCGCATATCGATAGATTGCCTTTCTTACTTTGAAAATTTTCTTCACTTGCAAAATATTTCAAGTTTGACTAACATGAATGACGTTGATTCTCCACAATTATTTTGGTGTGGGGGGGGGGGGGGCCGGGGAATGCTAAAGAGATTTTCTCAAAAGTGAGATTTTTAATGAACTTTCTGCCACCTCACAGTTTAGTCAATTCTCATGCCAACATTATAAAACATTGTGCTAAAAATATAAGGTGGTAGACAGTTCATGAAGAGCCATAGACTTCCCATAGCATTTCTCTTAAGTGAGAGCCATAGACTTCCCTTTAAACATAAAACAAAATTGCCATGGTAATGGAGTGGCAGTGGTCGAAGTTTACTTTTTGTATATTGTTTAATTTTGCTGTTACTCGATACTACTCAATTATTTTTTTCTTTGTACAGAATCAAAAACTTCCCCACGATGACGAAAAAAGTTGTCATTTTTCAAAATTTCATCATTCATCGAGAAAATATGATTCAAGACTATAAGACTTATTTAATCAGTAGGACTAACACTCTCAAGGGATTAGTGTTTGTGGTGATAGTCAAGGGCGTGTAATTTGGTTCAAGACTTCACCAAAGGTAGATAGATTAGCATTTTAGCAATATGAATTAGTGGAAAAGTAGTAGTGGAACATGAGTTAGAGTCAGAAGGGAGATGGTATTGAAGAGGTGTGGAAAGGAACCGACTCCGGTGAGAGCTCCAACTACCGTTTTAATATTTTTTTTTTACAACTTTAAAATGGAAGCTTTGAAATTTGCTAGGTAAGAATAGATAATTATTAAGTGCAAATAGTAAATTTTAAAAATTCTTTTTTATTTTCACTAGCCTCTCCGCACGCACGGCATTTTGGTATCACGGGCGCTACGCACCACTAAAGGTGTATTGTGTTAATTTTTTTTTTCATTGAAATTGTCAAGATATATTTTAAATGTATTGTGCAAAAGAAACTTTTTCTTTACCATGCACGTTCTAAAAAGTTGTCATGTTTTTCGTTTTCACTTTGTGTAAAGTAATTATTTAAATGTTATTCATCCAATTGTCAAACAACATGGGATTTTGGATGCAAGTTCCTACCTAAAGTTCATGAACAATAGTGGTTATCATTCACCATTTTAAATACAAAGAAGGAAAGAAAATTCATGAAAACTGAATAAACAGTGGATATGCAAGTGATCAAGAAAAATAGAATTTAATATAAATTATTCTTTCTTTTGGTCAATCTGAACATATGAAGACAATTAACAATGTTGTTCTATAAAAGAGAAATTAAGAGAAAAAAGTCAATAGTGAGAGCCAGAACTAAAATTTAATAGAATCCCACGTTGCCTCATAGTCGATCAAATTTTTCTAATTCGTCGCGAAGTGAAGTGAACATAATCTTGATTCTTGAGAAAACCAAATTCAATTAAATGACAGTTAATATGTTGCCACAATGGATTGTTGTTATCAAATTATTAACTTGACTAAACAACCAAGTCATCTCCTTTTTGCCTCACAAACATAAGCTGATGAAGCTAGCAAGCAAGTACAATTTGTCAAGCTTAACAGCTTTTCATAGGTCGTACCCAGTGCACAAGGCTCCCGCTTTACGCAGGGTCTGGGAGAGGTGAATGTCGGCTAGCCTTACCCCCATTTATGGAGAGGCTGCTCCCAAGTCTCGAACCCGAGACCTACCGCTCATGGGCGAAGTCAAGCTTAACAGCCTTTACGCACATAAAATACCTTTTCCAAAACGCCTCAATATTTTTTTTTTTAAATTGAATAACTTCAATGCTTAAGCCATAGGAAGCTTATAGAACAAAGTTAACTTGAACAATGAATAAAATGAGAGGCATATCTATGAACAGTGGGAAAAAAAGGAAATCATCAGCGTTAAATTCCTCAACTTAACTATGTCGAGAGTTATTAGACTGAAATAATGCCAACCATATGACAGAGAAACAAATAAAAACCTGTAAATTCATAAATCACAATTTTAACTCAATCAAATATTATTCCAATGAAAGTTGTAAAATGCAAATAAATCCATTTAACAACAAACTGTTTCAACCATTTGACTACCCGCAATGTAGATGAAGAAATTTGATACTCATACATAACTGCTCTATTTATCTCTCTGCAAATGACAATTAATAAAATGGAAAACTGAAGTATACCTTGGCTAATTATTTTGGGTCACCATCAACAATTGCTCCAAATAAAAAGTAGGAAGCGTGTGAAGGAAAAATTGGACGCTTGTCTTGAGTTGTTGAGTTGGCACTGGCGGCCGTCGACCACGTCTCCTAACCTGTAACGTGCTAAATTTATCGATTCAACAAAGAGTGTTTAACTAAATCTTATCTCATTGGCAATGGCACATTAGAATATCGAGCAAATATTTTTGTGTTTATAGATAATAGAATTTTACACTTTTAAGTAGTTATTTTTCATTCTCATCTCTATTTGAATACAACACCATTGAGCTCAGGTTCTCAATTTTCTTAGCTTGCTGTTGCACCATCTTCTATCTTTCAACTTGGGCTGTTTTTTTCCTCCTCCAACTTGAAAGCCATTCGCTTCCTCTCTAACTCAGTCTGCACAGAAAGTATGCATGTCTCATAATACACTTGCATTCAACTAATTACAATAAACATAAAGTGTATATTCCAAACCTGCAATAACATGTTTTGCAGATTGAGGATGTCCTCTGCCCAACGTTTCTAAATGAGATTCCTAAAACATGTGGAATATTTAAATTCCTTTATTTTACGTAGGCAATCTATATTTATAATTTACCTGCAATTTGGCTCAAAGCTCCTCAATTTCTTTCTTTTGATGCTTGAGAATAGTTAGAATCTGCCAGGAAGGACATACGTTGAAATGATAACAATTAAACATATGATAGAAATAAAAGAACAATTTCTTCGTCCAACAGATACAAACTTGGGAGAATATGAAGAATTAATCCTAAAAAGATTGCAAACGAAGCCAAGAGAGAAATTTAAAGTACATCAGAGAAAGCCAATAAGCTTGCAATCAATTAAAATTGCATGGCATGTATAATTAGTATGTTCAATATCTGATCAAGACTAACAAACATGTTCAAAGAACAGGGGCGAGGGAAGGAGGAAAGTGGTAGAATAGAATTTAACTTGGTTTCAGAAGAGAGAGAGAGAGATAGAAACGGAGATGAAGAAAGAGAAAAAGGTAAGGAATGAAGAAAATCCAATCGAGTTGGATACAAATTTGTCTACAACTTTCTAATCTCCATATGTGCGAGAACTAATAGCGACCATCATAAAGGCTTTAAGTAAAAGCAACCTATTCCCTAACATGAACCAACAAAACTGCATTGCCCAATACATGCGAGAACTGATAGTGACCATCATAAAGACTCTAATTAGAAGTAATCCATTCCCCAGTATGAACCGAAATACAGTTACAATATCCCAAAGAATCAAATATGTACAATCTACTTATAGTGAACTTTGGCAAACTAATTCATATCACACATTCATATCATACATACCTGAGAACGATTATTCCCATCACCATAGATTTGTTGCTTTGGTATGTGTTTCACTGAGAAGAAAAGGAAGCATCATTAGTCAATTTTGGTCCTAATATACGTAAGGACGATTATAATAATACAGAGAATAAAAACGCATACATTAGCAAAGACTCTACTATTCTAATCCTAATCAGTTCATGAGCACAGATATAACTAATGTGCCCTGTCTCCCATTATAACTAAAATCACCCCAAATAACACCAGCCAGCCATACAAAGCCACCGGCCATATCAAATATCAGGCGCGATTTAGGTAACCAAATTCAGAGAACAGAGTTCAGATAATGAAATTCAAATAAGTCAAAATAGTAGAAAGTCTTAGCAGGACAAAAATCAATAAAATACATAGAATAATTAAGAAAGAATTGGAAAATTATAACTAATGTGCCCTGTCTCCCATTATAACTAAAATCAACCCCCAAATAACACCAGCCAGCCATACAAAGCCACCGGCCACATCAAATATCAAGCGCGATTTAGGTAACCAAATTCAGAGAACAGGGTTCAGATAATGAAATTCAAATAAGTTAAAATAGTAGAAAGTCTAGGTAGGACAAAAATCAATAAAATACATAGACTAATGAAGAAAGAATTGGAAAATTTTCAAACTACTAACCCTACAATGTCTCACCCACACAAAACCAGATCACATTTATCTCCACCGCTAGCACCGAATGCAAATAATTTGAAAACCTAATGGAAAAAGCACGATTAATCGGAAAATGGATTATTATAAACAAAAACTCCCTAAAGCCAAAAAAACAAAATCCATTGAAATAAAAATCTACAAAAATAAATTTGCAAAAGGGATGGCAAAAAAAATTATTGATGAGGGACTGAATGTAGATGAGACCTCTCCTTTAACTCTTGAAGATCAATGCTATCAACGTGGGTGTCAAGAAGAGGAAGAGAGTAGTTTCATTTCTTGTAAAAAACGAAGAAACAGAGCATTAACAAACAAACGCGCGAATCTCAAAGGAAATTGGTAAGAAACAATCCCATTTGAGAAATTAATCAGAAACCATAGATGAAAGTTCAGAAACTCAACAATGATTCTGAACAGAACCTTGAGTACCCGCATTGTTTTTTTAATCAATTCAACCGAATCTTTAAACGAAAGAAAGAAAGCAGAGAACCTAGTTGAGGAAAAGCCTTAAAGAATCATGTGGTAACCTATTGAGCCTCTTATTGTAATACTGAGATGATAAACATGCTATAATTTGTCTGAATCAAAATTCATTTTCAATCCTTTTCTGATTGAGAGGATTTAAAAATCCCCGTGTAATTTTAGAATCTCTAATCACTGAAGAATTACACTATATAGTGAATAAATTTGAAGAAAAGCTTCAAAGTTGTATATAAAAAACTTTAAGAAAAACGATCGCAACTCACACGGCCGTGGGGATTTCCAGATTGCTCCCAATAGATTGTGTGGATATCCGAAACCGTAAGAAACCGGGAACTGTACCACTCAATATTCGGGTACGGGCTCAGGTTCAACTGTGGAAATTCCTTGTCCGATCTAATTTGTTTGAATCAAAATTCCATTTGAAATCAATGCAACAAACAAAATTAATACATAATTCAAAAGGTGGGGTACCTGATTTTGAAAAGCCCCTTGCATGCAGAGCACAAAACCCAAGTTTAGCAATGGTGAATGCAGCAGAGACAAAATTGAAACCAATTGTAATCAAATCGAAACCCCAAGTAAACACTCGGGGTATTCCAATGTCCTTTCCCAGCAAATGAATTAGAGATGGACCAAATTAGTGATATGAATTGGTGAAAATTGGATGAAGAATAATTAAATTAAGGTTGAGAAACCCTAAAAGCATGCATTTTGTTGAATGAAAAGTTGAAATCAAAAGCTAAATAGTAAGGAAAGTTGGGGTTAGGGATTTGCACAAAATGGAAAACTTACTTAAATATTGCGATCGGGAGAGAGAGGAGCAACGGCCAGGAGACTGGGCTCCTGAAAGTGGGCGTTCGGGATCGAAGGTGTGAAGAATGATGAGTTCCAAGCCGCGTCCCGGAGTCTGGTTCCGAAAATTGGGCTCTTTTTGATAATTCATTTGTATATAGTGGTGGTATGTGAGTAGTTATTGTGTAACCTTCAACTGAACTCAGATGGTGGGAATCGTAAACTGCTCTCTAGTTTTGATTGTGGGAATCGTCAAACTCTCTGGTTTCGATTGTGGGAAGTTGAAACTGATAGACTGAGAACTGTCTATTCTTTTTCACTTTCCTCCCCCGTTTCAAATTCTGGAGTTAATGATTTTACCTTTTTGTCCCTCTTTGGGTATTAAATTCTTGATTTGCGCTCTGTCATTAAGTAAGGGTATTTTAGGGGTTTAGAATGCTTTACCAAACTGGGCTCTCACTTTATATATATATAGATTAAGGTAAGGGGAAAGTTCGTAATTATTACAATATTTGAGTGAAAAAGTTGTCATTTTTCTATATTTCATCACTCATCAGAGTAACTGTTGTTCGTGGGATGATGTTGAGTGCGATGAAGAGTCTGGCAAATGTCATTGGCCTTGAACTTGGCAGCAGCTGTCTCTATGGTTCTATCAACTCTAACAGCAACCTCTTCCGACTTGTGCACTTGCAGAGGCTTGATCTCTCAGATAACCACTTCAATTTGTTTCAAATACCATCAAGATTAGGCCGTGACCTTACGAGTCTAACCTATCTCAACCTTTCACATTCCTTATTTTCTAGCCAAGTTCCATCTGAAATTTCGAAGCTATCAAAGCAATCTTCCCTTGATTTGTCATTCAATGATAATTTTTTCGCTGAATATGGTGTCTATATATCACTGACAAAAGCCAAACTAAGAAGCCTAGTCCAAAACATGACCAACTTAAAACAACTTCATCTTGGTTGGGTAGAAATATTCTCCACTTTTCCTGATAACTTTGTCAATGCATCATCCTTTACATCTCTCTTTCTTGCCAACTGTGGGTTCTATGGGGAGTTCCCTGTTGGTGTTTTCCACCTACCAAACTTAGGTTCTTTATGTTTACAAGAACTTAGAGCTAACTTTAACAGGACCAATTCCTTCAAGAAATTGAACATTGGGGAAACAAGTTTCTCCGGTCCACTGCCTACTTCCATCGGAAATCTTCGTTCCTTAACCATATTTGGCACTACTATTGTAATTTTGATCCCAATGTTCCATCTTCACTCAGAAACCTTACTCAGCTCTTTTACCTTAACATTTCTTCATTTTAGGATCGCTTGTATTGGCCTGGAAAAGACATTTTCACAAAGACAGATCAACCGTTAGTATCTGATTATTCCAGGTCTTGGGTTGGAAAGCTAACCAAACTTGATCATTTGGGCCTGGCGTATACCAACTTAACGGGAAAATTCCCATGTTTTCTTGCTAACTTGACGCAACTTACGGAACTAGACTTGGGTTCTAAGAACTAACTGGTTAAATCCCATCTTGGGTTACAAGGAATTTGAACCAATTAACTGATATGGACCTTTCCCTTAATAAGTTGAGAGGATTAGTTGAATTTGATAGCTTTCCAACCTCAAAAATTTAAAGGTACTTCGGTTATCGTTCAACTAATTTTCTTTGCAAATTAAACCCAATTTGAATGCTACTCTTCCAAAGTTTCAACTTTTGTGGTTGGATTCATGCAACTTAACAGAGTTTCCTGAGTTTTTTAAAAACCAGGACGAGTTGTACAATCTTCACCTTTCTGACAACAATATTTATGGCCAAATACCAAAATGGTTCTGGAATGCATCTAGAGAATGTTGAATTTGGATCTGTCAAATAACTTCTTAACAGGCCTCGAGTCATTTGACCAGAATCCAATCATTCTTCCATGGAAACATTTGTTGTTTTTTGAAATGACGTCCAACTTTTACAAGGTTCACTGCCAATTCCACCCCAATCAATCATAACTTATGATGTTGCAAACAATGATTATAATGGAGAGATTTCACCACTATTCTGCAGCATGAATCTACAAGTTCTTGATTTGGCTAACAGCAGCTTAAGTGGTATGTTTCCACAGTGTTTGGGGAACTCCAATTCTTTGAAAGTACTCAACTTGCCGAACAATTCTTTTGACGGAGATATTCCTCAACTATGTCCAAACAAAAATAGTTTGAGGATGGTAGATTTAAGTGACAATCATTTGCAGGGGAAGCTATCAAGATCTTTGGTCCATTGCACTCAGTTGGAGTTTCTTAACCTAGGAAACAATTGCATCAGAGACATCTTCCTGTCTTGGTTAGGGGAATTACCAGCGTTAAAGGATCTCATTTTGGGTCATAATGAATTTCATGGAATAATTGGGAAGCCTGCAACTAACCATGAGTTTCCAAACTTGTGCTTCGTTGATTTATGTCACAACGGTTTTTCCGGTATGTTGCCCTCTAACTACTTGGAGAATTGGAATTTCATGAAATTTGTTAATGAAACCAATCAAACTTATTTTGAAGTCTCTTCGACCAACCCAAGTGATGTCTCTTATATATATGAATACAAGATCACAATTTTTGCAAAAGGGGTTGAGTTGAAATATTTGAAGACCTCTTAATCTTCTGAGTCTCATAGATTTGTCAAGCAATAAATTTGGAGAGATTCCAGCAGGTATCATTGGGAAACTAAGAGGCCTTCATTCGCTAAACCTCTCCAACAACACCCTCAGTGGTCTCATACCCTCATCTCTTGGGAACTTGAGAGCTCTTGAATCATTGGATCTCTCTGGAAACCAGCTCTTAAGAAGTAACCCCAGTAATTTGGCTCAACTCAACTTCTTTGCGTATTTCAACGTATCCCATAACCATCTTTGGGGGCCAATTCAATGATTTTGTGTAGCGCTGAGTTTTCTGTTGGAGAATAAATTTTCTTCATAGTTCATTCAATTTTGTTTTATTTTCTTATTTGGATTTTGAAATTGAGACTCGTAGCTTTGCCCTCGTCAAGAAAATTTTATTGATTCCAGGATGGGAAAGCGATCACCAATTTGAAATCAGCTCTTCAGGTACGCATTCATTCCAGATTTAAAACATTACTTCCGTTTAGTATGTTGTTTATCATTTTTTATCATAACACTGTCATGCGGTGTTACTGTCCGTCATTTTAGTTGTTAAAATCTGCTTTTTTGAGCTTTAAATAGAACTCTTAACGTAGAATTAGTAAAATGCACGTGCAAAATGAATGACTAATCAATGTGGGAAACTTCTAGAAATGTATATAACTGTAACTTAGAAATCTCCCATTTGGATTGCACATATGCTTTAGATGCAAAGTAAATAAAATGTAATATAACTTAAAGACTTATTTTACCATGTTGGTTTAGATGTTCTGTTAATTTTTGAAATATTTAGAAATGAATGGATTGATTTGTGATTTTATGGAATTTTCAGAAGTATCTATTATGTATATAGTGATATATGTGTTTGTGAATGCAGTTAAGCTGTTGGTAGCTTATGAGTTTCAATTGATTATTATGTACTATTATTCAAACTCTCTCTTTTTTGGGAAATGATTCATATTTGCTATAAATTACGATTGAAACTCACAGCGGAGCACGGTACTTTAGCTAGTTTTGACCTAGAAGCAAATGAAAACGGGAAACGTAATTCCAACTACTTAGTTGATAACACTGAATTTGATCAGGTAGAAATATTATACAAAGCAAACTTATAGAAGCCCATTATTGTAATATAACATAACAACATATGTTGAAGCACCAAAAATCATAAAAAACATGACATTAGCCTTGAAGGCCCAAACATTTCTCTAGCCGGTAGACACATCAAGCTAAGTTCAGCGTCCCCTCATCGCCCTTGCGGTTGTTGGCTTCCTCCTCCTGCTGAATGTCTCCATAAACCATTCATGATTCTTGTTTGCCAATGTGTTTCCAGCAACCACTCCCACTATTAGTCCGCTAACAACTCCCGGCAAGACTACATACCAGTCAAACTCAAAAGGAAATCCAGCTTCTTCAACTTCTTTAAAGCTTGATGGTGGCAACCTCAAGCTCTCAGAACCCTCACATTTCTTGGACAAAGGCTTTCCACACACACCTGAGTTTCCTTGGTATGAATCTTCTAGGAATGTACTGAATTGTTGGCCAAGTGGTATAGTCCCCCAAAGATGGTTATGCGACACATTGAAGTACTCAAGGAAAGTGAGTTGTGCCAAACTACTGGGGATCCTTCCTGAGAGCTTGTTTTGTGAGAGATCCAACGATTCAAGAGCAGTCAAGTTCCCTAGAGATGAAGGGATGTGACCAGAGAGAGCATTGTTGGATAGGTTTAGCAAATGAAGTGCTCTTAGACTCCCAATGATACTTGCTGGAATCTCTCCTTCAAATCTATTACTTGAGAAATCTATGAGTCTCAGATCATAAGGGGTCTTATCATATGTTAACTCAACACCTTTTACAGGAATTATCATATTGTATGAAGATTCATAGAAATTTCTATATTTATTGCGCTGATGTTCGATGAGATTATAAAGTATCGGCTTCCCTTGTTTGTAACAACATATTTCATGAAATTCCAGTTCTCCATGTACTTAGAAGGCAACATACCTGAAAACAGATTGTTGGATAAATCAATGATGCACAAGTTTGGGAACTCATGATTAGTTGGAGGCTTCCCAATTATCCCATGAAATGCATTCGACCCCAAAATGAGACCACTCAATAGTGGAAGTACCCCTAACCAAGAAGGGAAGATGTCACTAATCTGATTGTTGCCAATGTTAAGAAACTCTAACTGAGTGCAATCGGCCATTGATCTTGGTAGCATCCCTTGTAACCTATTGTAACCTAACCCAACCAATTTCAAACTATTTTTGTTAGCACAAAATGGAGGAATATCCCCATGGAAAGAATTAAACATCAAATGCAGTATTTTCAGCTTTTGGACTTCCCCAAACACCGTGGAAGCATGCCACTCAGGCTGTTGTTGCCCAAATTAAGAACTTGAAGATAATTCAAGTCGCAAAACAATGGTGAAACTTCTCCACTATAATTATTGTTGCGGACACTGTAAGACATGATAGATTGTGGTGGAATTGGCAATGACCCTTGTAACCGATTATTCTCAAGATTAAAAAGTTGTAGATTTTTCCATGGAAGAGTGACTGGATTTTCCTCGAAGCCTGTTAAGAAGTTAACATCAAGGTAGAGATTGACCAAAGTTTCTCTAGTTGCATTCCAGAGCCATTTTGGTATTTGGCCATGAATATTGTTACCAGCAAGGTCTAGGACTCCCGATTCATATTGATTTTTCAAAAATTCTGGAAACTCTGTCAAGTTGCATCCAGCCAACCTTAGAATTTCGAACTTTGGAAGAGTAGCACTCAAACCAGATTTGACATGCACCGATAACCTATTGTACGATAAACCAAGTGCCTTCAACTTTTTGAGGTTGGAAAACTCATCAAACTCAACTAATCCACTCAAATTATTACCGGAAAGGCCAAGAAGTTCAAGATTTTTGAGGTGGAAAGCGACTTAGGAACTGCTCCTTGCAAATCGTTGAAGGAAAGCAGCAAAAAAGTTAATTGGGTCAGGTTAGCCACAAAACTTGGGAAATTTCCCCTTAAGTTAATATTTGAAAGACCCAAGTAGTTGAGCTTGGTTAATTTTCCAAAACAAGACAAGGAATCAGGAACTAAGAATTGGCCTGTAGAAACGTCATGAAATGTATTCATCTTAAGGAAACTAAGTTGGGTAAGGTTTCTGAAGGAAAATGGAACATGGGAATCAAAACCACAGTTTGAGATATCAAAGTAATTTATGGAATGAAGGTTTCCAATAGAACTAGGAAGTTCACCAGAGAAATTTGTCCCTGAAACATCCAATGTTTTGAGGGAATTGGTTCTGTTAAAAATGGGAGAATAACCATTTAGCTTTATGTTCGAGTATAAAATAAGCTCCTCTAGGTTTGGTAGGTGGAAAATGCCTACTGGGAATTCCCCATACAACCCACAGTAGCTTAGGTTGAGAGATGTGAGAAAAGATGCATTGACCAAGATATCAGGCATAATGGAGTATATGCCTACATCACTAAGATGAAGTTGTTTTATGCTGGTCAAGTTTTGGACTAGGATTCTCATGTTGGACTTCCCAAGCTCCAAACCATTATTTTGAGACAGATCAAGAGTAGACAGTTTGGATAGCTTTGAAATTTCAGATGGAATTTGCCCAGAAAATGCAGACAGTGAAAGGTTGAGATAGGATAGACTCGAAAGGTCATGACCCAATCTCGATGGTATTTCAGAGGAATTGAAGTTGTTATCTGAGAGGTCAAGCATCTGCAAGTGAACAAGTCGGAAGATGGTGCTGTTGGAATTGATAGAACCATAGAGACAACTGCTTTTGAGCTCAAGGCCAATGACATGGCCAGACTCCGCATGGCACTGAACACCATCCCACGAACAACAGTTACTCTGATTCTGATCTCCTTCTCGAGTCCAAGATGCAACCTTCGGATAAGCAAAAGCAGATGAAGAAGCTGACTTGTCTATCGTAAAACTTTCCTTGAATTGTAACAAGAACGATTGCTCTTCGGCGTGACAGAGTGTTTGTGTCTGCGTCTTCACAAATGAAAAACAATGAGTAGCATTGAGTAATAGCAAAAGAAGACAATGCAAACAGGTAAACTTGGACAACCAAGATTCCATTTTCATGGCAGTGGGATTTTCTGGTTATAGGAAATATTGTTTTATGGCTTTCGGATAATTAAGAGCAGATAAGTTGACTCCTTTTATAGACATTTGGAACATCAAAACGTGACTGGAAAATCAATAAACAAGGCACCACAAAGTCCACATTAGATAATCAGCGGAAAGATAGTTTATAATAAATACTAGTTCACTGTTGAAAACTAAAAACAATTACCAATTAAATTTCCTTTATTCAATCATTCAAAAGAAATTTAAAAATTGAAAACTAAAAATCAAAGTGAAATAATGTAAACACTCCATTTTTCTAACCGTACACACATCTGTTTAATTTTGGTCATTGTTTTTGTTTCATCTGTTCAATGCACTGGTTAGATATAATGACGTGTGTGTAATGAGAGAGACAAGTGTGTGGTTATTATTTCCCAAAAGGGTTGGGGAATAAATTGGTATGAATTCATTATTCACGAAATTCGAGCCTAAAATCTCTTATTTACAATTAAAAAATAATATCATTAAACTGCAGTACTAAATGACTTCATTTCTCAAAATTAAAAACTAAAAATTTCGGTTATCGAACGGACTCTTATTTTTTCAGATTATGATGTATGTTTTTGTTTTTATTTTTTTTATGTGCAAACTAAATATGCTTAGGATCTCACATAATTAAAGGTGGAGAAATCGACGTCCCTTTTTATGTAGACAGTATATACAAAGTTGTTTCTTGCAATGAGCTACGGGAGCTATGGACAACTAAAGAATCCAAAAAAAATAGTGATCCTAAACATACAAGAAGTCAAGACGGTGGAGAAATGGGTGGTGATCGTGAACATTATAATTTGCTCAGACCATCGCTTCAAGACTTGAAGTCATCGTTTGATAAAATCAGCCTATCCCCGTCACTTGAAGACTTGAACTCATTCATCGTTTGCATGTAATAATTGGCAAACTCCATCGTTTAGTTTTAACAAGGGTTTAAAATTTCTTCTATACATTCGACATTTTCATGGAAATATTCAAAAAATCATATAAAGATATGGAGATGGTGGGAGGTGAAGTCTAAACTTCACCTTGTATCGGTGAAATTCTTAAGTTTAGGATAAAATCGACATATATTGTCGATATTTTGTATACATCTGTTAAATATCGAAAAAAATCTTATGTTTCGTCCAAAGCAATATTTAAGAATTCCCAATGTTTCATTTTAAATTTTTATTATTTTCATAGAAAGCAACCGATATTCGATATGTCCGTCGATATTTTCACAAATTTGCTTATCGATATTTTCACAGTTACTGATATTTTAAGCATTGATTTTAACGGATACAACAAATACCCTTTGTTGAAGGTTCCTCCAACTTGTGTCTCAATTGTTCAGGAATGTGACTATAACAAACACCTCGAAACACTTTGTGGTAATAGTCAAAGGCGTATAATTTGGTAAAAGACTATAAGCCAAATCAATTAGTAGCAAAAATATGGTTTCACACTGTCAACAATGTTAGGTAAACTGATTGACCTTTTAGTAAGGTTTTTTTTTTTGGAAACTGACATTTTAGTAAGGTTAGGTAAGGTTAGGTAAATTGATTGGGGGATTGTGTTTCCCTGTTATTATAAATTGATTGGAGTCTGTAAATAAGTGACTTAGGGGATGCTATTGTCAAGAATTTGGATCCTCTCTTAGGCAATTGGTCGGGATTCTTCTGACCGGTGTTTGTGAGCCGTTGGATTTTTATCCAACGGCTACAATTATTATAACTTTTAGAGAGCTCCCTATTTGTAGCCGTTGAATAAAAATCCAATGGCCCACAAACACCGATCAGGAGGATCCCGACCAATTGCCTCAGAGGGGATCCAAATCCCTATTGTCAATGATAATTACTCCTCATAATCAAGTAAAGAGAAACTTGTAGTTAATGGTATTAGACATTACTTGTATAGTTTGTAATATAAAAGATCTCCTTACGGAGCCAATTGAAGATAATGAGAATCAGAAACTTTACAGAAAGGAAAAAACCATCCCAACCGACCACGGTAAAGTGAAACACGACTTCAAGTCTCCACCTACAGAACAACGTATCGGAGCATATCTAAAGGTGATGTCAAATTCTAAACATAAAATTTAAATTTGACATCCTATGTAACACTTTGATATCCTATGTGACATCCTATGTAACAGAAAATCTCTACACCTGTTGCCCTCTCCTACGAGCAGCCCAACAGGTGTGGGGGCATTTGTGGAGCCAAAAATAATCACAAGGCGACATGTGGATTCTTGGGTAAAAGAGGACAAAAATACCCTTGAGGCATACTGGGATTCCTACGCGCGAGCAGCGAGCAATCATCCTAAACCAAGTCAAAAATGCTCCAAAAAAGGTAACTAATTCCAATTTATCTCATCCATCCTCATTATAGGTAATTACTTCATAACCTATAAATTATCCCATAAAAATAGAGATTAATTGGCTAATTAATGAATTAATTCCTAATTAATTCATTAATCACCAAATTAATCACCCATTATACCCCAAAAATCACACCAAGGGCCGGCCATTCCCATCCAAAAAGAGCCTATCATATTCTCTACCTTTTCCACCATTTTCCCTTTTTAATTATTTGGTAACTCCTAATTAAACCTAAATTAAACCCAAAAAACCCTAGCCACCCCTATCCCTATAAATATACTCTCATTCTCACCAAAAAAGCCAATTCAAACACTTTGGCAAAAATCCCAAAATTCTCTAAACACTATTTCTCTCTAAATTTTAATTTTGGCATCGGAGGTTCTTCAGCCAAAGCCCCCCCCATTCATCGTGGGCGTGTGAGTCTTGTGGCCATAACCAAAGGTGTTATTTATTTTGTAGGTGCAATTTTGTCCAAGATCAAGGAGGAAGAAATTTGCATCCACAAATTGGTGCTTTCATTGAGAGTTGAAATCCATACTCGTAGAAGACTCTCGCACAAAAAGGTTTTTTCTTTATTTTCTAGTCCATTTGAATATTTTTCATACGTTCTTATTATTAGAATTTTTTACTTGCAAAGGTTCTTTGATAAAACGTATAAGCAAAATATAATGGCTAGAAATTTAGAAAATTCCATAAGTGAAAATTCTAGTGTTCAAGAAATGGGAGTGCGGAGATCCGTGAGGCAAAATGCGACAATAAGGGGAGCGGCATCACCACCATGAGTTTCCACCATGGGAACCACCGCGATGGCTACCTCGGTAGCCACCCACGGCGAGGTCCATGGTGCCTTCACCACGGCCGCCATGGGAACCACCGCGATGGCTACTTCGGTAGCCATTCGTGGCAAGGTCCATGGAGCTTTCACCACGGCCCGAGCCGTGCCATCCAAGGCTCACGGTACCAAGACCACGACCCAAGCCCAAGCCTCACTTTCATATGCACCGCGCATTGAGCAGCCTGCTTCCGTCGAGCAGCCCATTCCCGTGGCCTAGCCTGCTCCTGCCAAGCAGCCTGCTCTCGTGACCCAGCCTACTCCCGATGAGCAGCCCACTCCCGTGGTCCAGCCTGCTTCCTTCAAGCAGCCCACTCCCGTGGCCGAGCCTGCTCCTGCCAAGCAGCATGCTCTCGTGACCCAGCCTGCTCCCGACGAGCAGCCCACTCCCGTGGTCCAGCCTGCTTCCGTCGAGCAGCCCACTTCCGTGGCCCAGCCTGCTCCTGCCAAGCAGCCTGCTCCCGTGACCTAGCCTGCTCCCGACGAGCAGCTCACTCCCGTGGTCCAGCCTGCTCCTGACGAGCAGCCCACTCCCGTGGTCCAGCCTGCTTCCGTCGAGCAGCCTACTCCCGTGGCCCAGCCTGCTCCTGCCAAGCAGCATGCTCTCGTGACCCAACCTGCTCCCGACGAGCAGCCCACTTCTGTGGTCCAGCCTGCTTCTGTCGAGCAGCCCACTCTCGTGGCCCAGCCTGCTCCTGCCAAGCAGCCTGCTCTCGTGACCCAGCCTGCTCCCGACGAGCAGCTCACTCCCGTGGTCCAGCCTGCTTCCGTCGAGCAGCCCACTCTCACGGCCTAACCTGCTTCTGCCGAACAGCCTGCTCTCGTGACCCAGCCTACTCCCGACGAGCAACCCACTCTCACGGCCCATCTTGCTCCAGTGGCTTTCCAAGCAGCCCAAGTCGACCCAAGACTATCTCAACCATCCCGACCTACCATCGAGCCGGGGGCATTCTCACCATATTTTTTCACAGATTTGACATTTCCCAACTCAAATCTTGCGCCCGGAGTCTACCACATTTCCACTGCCCAAGGAGGCGCATTCCTTCCAAGCTCTTCCAATCCAAATGGCGATCAACACTTGTCTCGACAAGTCATAAAGTTGACGAGCGCCATTGCACAACAGACAACTTTGGTGAATCAACTTTTGCAACGCATCGGGATCCAACGTGCCCCGGACGAGGTATCCCGAAGTAGGACAAGGGTAGCCGAACCTTTCCAGCAGCGTCCCGGCAAGCAGCCACTCGACCAGCCACGAGCCGAACGTTCAGGTAGTGTACATTCCCAATTGGGCCCCCAAGATAGCGTATACTCCCGTCTTAGCGCGCGGATGAGCGTGTACTCTCGACTAGGCCCACGGATGAGCATACATCAACATGAGCAACCTTCCGGACAAAGTGTTCATTCGCGGCTAAGCCCACAAAGAGCATCCTCCACCTCACATCAGAGCAGGCAGCACGACGAACGGAGAGAAGCAGTCACTCAATCCAGCTCAAGTTCAACCAGCAGCCTATGAAGAACTTCCTCGCCTGCTAGGAACGCACCACATGCACTGCATCCGCTGCATAGACGAGCCAAACATATGGAAGAGCAGCCTAGACCAGCAAGTTGGGGGCAGCTGAGAGCTCCGCTACCCCAACAAAGGCAAATTCAGGAAGAAGTAGAGAGACTCTTGACCAAACGATTGCATGATTTCCAACGCAACGAGGTCACCGACAAGGCACTACGACGGAACATGACCAACATAAGCAGGTCACACTTCACGGACGAGATCGAGCAGGCAGAGCCTCCATGAGAGTTCAGCA